GAGCCGCTGATGTTATCACCTCAAGATTAAAAGCTAATGGCTCTTGCGAACCCTTTTTATTAAAAAACCAATCTGTCCAAAACCTGGTACCTCTTGAAGCAGAATCTGAAACTAGTGAAAAACAATTTCTAAAGAATTTTGGAAAGGCTATTGAAGAAAATCCAAAACTGGATAAGCCATCTCTTCCCATTCAGACCTTCTACTATCGCGCAATATTAAAATAAGATTCTCTAAGGTTCAGGTGAATTATCCCTTCTTCTCGAAGATACCAAGTTCCTAACTCTCTGGAAGCAAAAGAGTTTTACTTCCACCTGGAAGTACCACAATCTTCACCAGCTATGGTGTTTGACCTAACCAAGGTCTACAAGGATTACAGGAGAAGTATCGACCTGAGAACCAGGTCAACAAAGGAATAAGTCTTATCCCCGACCTGAGAACCAGGTCTTCAAAAGGTTAAAAACTTTTGATCTGAGTACCAGATCTTCCAGAGTCTCAAAAAACCGCCTGTGTAAGGTTTGGAATTAGCTACCCCAGACCTTGACACCTACTTCTCTTTCATTTCTGTATATTTTTGTATTCTTTTTTGACATATATTCTTTTCCCATAACAGAACCACATCAAGTCATCTCAAAACCATGACACAATCATCTAACCAAAGGCCCCATGGATAAACATACCACTCCTCATCTTCACTCTGGATACAGAACCAAGATTATGGAACCTATTGGAAAAAATTCGCGATTTTATTTGTTCATTGTCCTGAGTCACCCCTTCCGGAAAAGGGGTCCCTCAAGGACAAGGGGGGGCTTTTGTGCGGAATTTTTTACCGGACTAAATATTTTCAAAAATTAAGCAGTAATTGGCGTGTCTCGGGACGCGCCTGCAAGCTGCAAACCATCCCCTCATGAAAAATAATAATAAAATGAACCCATCTCTGGGTAAATAACTCTTGCTGAAGAGTCAAATGACCCCTAAAAAACCGGAGATCAACCCCACCAGCAGCTGGTCGCTGCATGTACTCGTCGAAACCTAATATGCTGAACCATTTGTCGCGCTTCTTCAAAAAACATTTTCCCTGTAAAAGAACATGTTTTCCGGACCCTAAAAACAATTTGTCACCGTCTTCCAAAACATGCGCAGCCTTGTAAAAGCCCCGCCAATTCGAAAAACACCCGGTTTTTCGGGAAAACATCCCTCTTCAGACTTCTCAATTTTTTCGTCTCAAGAAATTACCAGCAGCTGGTGTTTTTCTGTTCCTCACACCCAGCTGCTGGGATACTCTGCAGGTACCATGCTCCCCCGCCCCNAGCTTCGTTGGAAAAATTTACTAATCTCAATAAAATAACGCAACAAATACTGAAATTAATTGTAAGATGTATTATTTAGAAAGGTCATTGAAGTGACCAAATTTTTACTTGATTTACCGATCTATAGGTCGCGTCATAAAATTGGGTTGAATGAAACATTGATTGGATGGCTCTCAATTCGATGTTTTTTCGCAATTTGTTTTGTTATTCTTTCAATATATATATTAGTATCAAAATCCAACTTTAATAGAATTTTTCGCTGCGAGAAACTGGTTGGTTGAATTTTGAAAACCATGTGCCAGAATCGGCACAAAAGGACGAGAAATTCGAAATAAAATAACACTGTAATCAGGTGTGGGGTGCACCTGGGGATCTTGTTGTCAAGATCCCAAAGAATAAGATAAATGCATTTCATTAAACCCCAAATCACAATCACCAACAAAGATAAAACACACAATCACAATTGACTAAACTCGATGGACTCTTCCAGTACTGAACTGGAGCTTCCCAAGGAAATGGCGGCAAGTTGATGCTATGGAAAACCTGAGAAAGGTCTCAAATATTCGAGATTAATCCAGCATAGATTTATGGTACTTTAACGTACCGAATTATTCCGCCACAAACCAGTGAGATTCTTTCGTAAATAAAATATAAAAAAATGGCACGTGTTGGAGTGAAACTTCCAGAATATCTGAGAAGTTTCCTCTGCGGTTCCAAGCTTTATAGAAGAGCACTTGGAACCCACAAATAAATAATGACACTCAACGAATTTTCTTTGAAAAATCAGTGCGAACTTTTGAATTTTTTTTTATTTTCCATACATTTTCTTCATCACTGGCATTCCCTGTAAACGTGTTTTTTGGTTTCCTCTTTGAAAGTTGGCGAAAAACTGCCGGATGGATATTGAATTTCAGCAGAAAGTTTCAGTTAGTGTTATTTTTCTAGAACTTTGCCGAAAAATTAAAGCTCAAGTTACGAGGAATAATGGGGCTGAGATGACAGGTGAAGTTATGGTTTCGTTGGGCAGGGCAAGAAAAGTGAGCGTGCAGCTGATCTAAGAATGAACGATCGCGAAAATGTTGAAGAAATTTATTTTACTGGAATATTTACTCGGATTCGAAGCCAATTCATTGAAAGATAAAGTCGTGTAACAGGCACATTTATTTGCCAATCGAATAAATGGCGAGACCCTCAGAGACATTCTCCCAGCATTTTATCATTTTGCTGTATTATACAATGTTCCTATTTTTATTTAAAACCAATATACATAATTTAATTTGATTCGCAGCATAGAAGAGAGATAATACCTTGGTACAGTACTCTTCTATATACACTCCCAATTTTGGAATCTCGGTACGCCCAATTGTTATACTATTTTTATGGGTCTTCACTCTTCAATAAACACAGTTTACTGGTGATTCAGAATGTCTACCTTCACTTCAGTTCAATTGTCCTATATCTGACCCTTGTATAAACCTTTTACAAGAAGTTTAAATCTTATTATGGTTGGGGCTGTGAAATTAGTAAATAAGACTTCTGGTTTAAGACAATATCTGTATATTTCTTACCTGCAACCGTACTGCAGAAAATCTCAACCAGCAATGAATACATATACAATGCATGCTGTTTTGGCAACCTGTTGCTAGCTTGGCATACCAACTGCCAATGGGGTATTCTTAACATATTTTGGGACGCACTAAAGCCATTTATGATGACAAATTATATTGTAATTTATTCTGGTGGTTTCTACCCTCTACAATCTACATTACTTATTTGCTGAGGTTACCAAAAAGTGTTATGCAATGGTTTGTCATCTGATTCCTCACAAAATCTGTCTTTTCAGCTGCAAATGAAGCCTAAAAATCCATCATGATTTGATTGGAATTTGGTTAATCCTGATAAAAGTCAGCGGGAAGGGTTTTTTAATGTCCGCACTGATTTCTTTGAAAAATACTGTAGTTCATTTACATCAAATTGAAATATATTTGAAAATTCACAAAGCATCGAAAAAAGCAGAAGTTTTACCTCGTTTCTATCTCTCTGCTTTTAATATACTGAATTTCAGATGTACAATGGCGAAATCGTTTTATAACTTCGTGTCATTCTGCAGTGGACGGTAATCCTCATACTCAGTTTCAACTCCATTATCGATAAAAACCCGAAATGCAGGATTATTCTTGCTAGGTAAATGCAATCAGCACAGTCTGGCATCAATTATTTTATATTATATATTTAATCAACGAAATATACTTTAGAAGTTATACGCAGGACGAAATATGTATTTTCATTCGTGGATCCTCTTCACATATCGTGTCCCATCGTTGAGAAAATGAAAAACTTTTTCATCTGGGTCGACTTATTGGGGTGTCTCAATCTATATGATGTATCCAAATCTCGAAACTTAACTTCACGTAGATGATGACTACTTACTTTCTCAATAGCAAAAAATTGACATTAATAATACTATCTACACATTGAAGCCTGTTTCTAAGAATTTTTAATTGAGTAGCACTCCCTCGGAACTTGTGAAAATGCCAGCGAAAAAATGAAGTACACGTGCAAAGTACTTCCGATTACGTTCGTCTATTAGAAATCCAAAAGTTTGATCAGGTTCGACACATGGCCGTATAATGATAGTGGACTGTTCGATGCGAATGTCATTACTCTATCGGAGGAAGAAGGAAACTCTGGAGATCTGATATAGAGAATCACTCTATAGTATCCTGTTCCAGAACCCTGACAACATCATCCAAAGTGTGTCAAAACCCTGTACGAAACTTTTGGAGAACTTCTATCTTTCTCGGACGACGACGACGACGACGAAGACTGAAACGCTCTTTCACAAAAGGTGCTCATTACAAATTGACTTTTAACCTCTTCATTTTATGATCTGCAAGAATTGAGATTTTTTTCTTTGAGAGGCACCACATCAATGGAATTATTGGATTAATCATTCGTATTCTATATGAGTACATTTGACATTGGACGGACCCTATATAATGTATATACACACGCAGTTCGTTTTTGTACTTATTTCTGCTCACGTGTTGATTGTCAAGCGGTGAATGCTTTCAGCTACTAGAGAAAAATATTTTTCACAGCATTTTGCAACCCTGAACGTGGCTTTTAATTTTTCATTTTTCCCAATCTGTCTCGTTTTTCTTGATCTGAAACAAAAACTGTCCCTATACCGCTGGAATTCTTCTAAAAATCTTTTCCAAATTCCCCAAATGTAAATACTTCCTTTTCGAATATAAAAATATTTTCAAATGTAAATCCTTCCTTTTCGAATGAGGGAATGAGTTATTCACGCAAATGTAATATCTTATACAAACTATTTATTTCCAAAATATATGTAGAACGCAAAATCTGATTTTTTTAAGGCGGAAAATTGGAGCTTTTCGCCTGTCAAGATCGACATGACTGATTCTTGGGAACGAGAAAATAATAAAGTGACAATATTGCAATAATATTAAACCGTGTGCTCTGGTGCGAAAAGTCCGAATACGGTTTATTTTCCTTCAAAGTTGGTCAGATTCTTTAGTAATTTTATGGAATATACGAAATGAAAAACGTGTTGTTGCTCGAAAAAGGGGAATTCTATTACAGTAAAGGCAAGAATAAGGCGGTTCACAATATGTACGAAAGGTTTTTCGTACGAACCGTTTCCGTGTCCTAAGCAACAAGGCATGAAATCGAAATTCGGGTCCGGTGGAAAAAGCCCTCACCCATTTCGTTTTTCTGATGGTAGTTTCCTTTTTCTTTTTCTTCCAGTGTTTTCTTCCGGGGTTCGTTCGTTCCAGAGTATCTTCGAACACACAGCAACTGCATTTCAATGTTACCCCGAGAACATTGCGTGGATTCTTGCGAACTGTGGGAAAACAAATGGTACATTACGTAATGATTTCCGGCTTTCAAGCTGGTTGGCCCAGAATCGGAAGAAGGAAAAAGGAACAATTGTGTAAAACCGTGAATGGTTAATAAAAAAAAACCCCCTGTGGCGAGTTTCAACCGGTTGCACTCACTAATTTTTTTTCAAGCCGAAGGCTCATTCAATTGTACTGTATATTCATTCCCTAATATTTCACTCAAGTATAAGCGGCTATTGTTTCACGTCACATAGCAAAACCATGATTAGAAGCATCAAACCAAGATTCCGAACTTCGGCCGCATTTTTCTTTTAAAGAATATCGAATGAACTTCAAAAAAGTTAAAATATTAAATTTTGTTTTCTTCGATAGAATCCCACCATTCAACAACCTACCCATTATTGTTGCGTAATCTGTCAAAGTTGTTTATAGTCCAAACCAGATATCTTCCGGAAGCGGTCAGAATTCCCAAGGTCTCACCTTATTTCCTCTTCTGAAGTCGCTTTATTATTTTCAACAGTGACAACATTTGTATGTGTACGTAAAAATCGGATGACTTAATAACTGAGGTTAGGATTGAGAACGGGAAAAATCAATTGTCGTGACTTTGCCATGCACCTGAAAACATCTGCCATCCATGTCACAGTAGAAAAAATTAGTTGCTTAGTTTGCAACGATTCGAATAACATGTAATTAAAGATCTGAAAGTTCCTTTTTAACGAATGTTGTAAACCTCTGTGCCTGACATCAAAGAGGTTCATGTTAAATGAAAGAAGGTAATATAAACTTGAATACATTTTGGATAAAAAGAGGACATGCGAAGCTACATGGTCTACATTGGAATTATATTATTAGCATCATGACCTCATTATTTAGAGAACCTCTGTTATAACGAGGTCTTCAAAGCCGGGGTCAAAGAGGACTATTTATCCGCTTAAATTTCTTTACCCGTCAAAATTGCATTTACGGTCCAAGCGCATTTGATTTACCCTCGAACAAATACATGGAAAAATCCTAACTAAGCATTTCGAGTCGACGTGCGAATATTTATTGCCAACTCGCACAGAAATTATCGTCTCACCAGCTCAATATAATGTATTTAGATTCCCCATACATTAATTCAATTTTTGTTCTCGTGGAACAGGTCTACGGAATTCATGAAAGTAACAAAAGATAGGTAATGACCAGCAGAGATAATCAGATCCTTCATTCTGGTCATAATCTGCAAACCACTTCACTATTTAGTAATAATCTGTTTTTTGTTGTATATTTAATATTGGGCATTTATCAAAAAGGAGAGGAAAACGCATCTGAAAAATATTTCATTCTATTTTTAGCGGTGGGGTATTCGTGAGCATTTGAGACATTCTTTAGAATTTATAATAAAAAACTACAGCAAAAGCTTTTTCAAAGGTCAATTTTACCCGTTTCGTGTGCAAAATGTTTTTACATCAAATTATGCGGGCTGTTGAAGCGATTAGGCCTGCCTCACTCTGGATGCTACCGTAATACAGTACGAAAATCTCCTTCATGATCACTGTATTCTTCAAAATATTCCTCTTGTTTATCGAATCAACACCCACGATGAGGTCACTGACCTGAAAAGTCGAAGGTCAAAATGTTTAATTTTAAATTATTCGGCGTATGTGAAAAAGAACCACGCCTGATCCGGTAAACAGGCATTTTCCACTACCCTGTTCGTGAATTCAAGCTTCAGAGACATTCTTTTGATCTTCTCAAAAATGTGTGGGAAATTAAACCTGCGCTTTGATGATGCACGATGAGGAACAGACGTTCCCTGTATAGCGAGCTCATTTATTAATTCGAGGTCGTCTAATGACTTCCACAGTTTCATTTAATCTACGCAATGTCACTAATGACCCACAGCTTCAAACAAATCAGAATAATCGAGAAAAAAAGATTATAGAAGTGCTCGTATACCGTTATAGTTTCCAATAACTCACTGCTGCTCGTCATTCCTGCCAAGCAGAAAATCAATTTTCAATCATCCTGCAATTCTATAACAGTTGTATGACTTGTATGCCAAGGTTTAATCAATTGCCACGGCTTGATTTTTGGATATCACTAGAAAAAAAAAATATATGGAGTCAAACGTATCTCCTCAATGTCCTCATCAACGCAAAAAAATGTTCAGTTACAATGACAACTGAGGGATTAATTTGCAAAGGAAGGAATACTGCAAAAATGAGAATCTTTCATTAATTCTGCAATTGCATATTGGTTCTTTAGAAGATGTATTTGTGAACGACCATCTGAAATGAAAAAAAGGAGGCCCGTGAATTTGATCCCTGCATTTTAAAATTGTATTCTACTGTACGATAAAACTTTTTAGAGTCAGAAATCAAACTGACTCGACAATTTCGGGCTTCCGTTCGTTGCATTTATGGTAAGTTTAACTTTTTATGGAGAATTCCGGAGTTGATTCTGAAAATGATGATCGTGGTTGACTTTTCGGATGGAATTTTCCAACAAATTAAATGTGTGAAACAATCCGCACGATTTCCCGTTCAGATTTCCAATCATGTCGTAAAACTTTGTCTCTGGCTCTTGCATTATATTTGTTTAATATTTTTGGTTCAGAAAAATAATCCTACGATAAAAACAACTTCCCGGACACCTACAATGAAATTCGGTGGATGCTTTGGAAATAATGCAAAAAGCTTAAATCCTATACAGAAAACGGTAAACTGCAGAAAGATCGATCTCTTAAAAAATGAGAATTCTTCACTTTGAATTCTGTACTTTTCTAGGCTCTTTATCAAACGCCGACATGATGTGCATGAATTGATTAAAGTGAGAAAATTTCAATCCTTGAAGATACAATTTTAAACAAGCAGTCATTCCAAGAACTGTAACGAAAAAACATAGATTTCAATTCGTAAACGATTCGATCAAAGCGGTTTTCTTTCCATCTTTATTAAATCACGTTCAAAGGAACTTTGTGCCTCGTATTCATCGTAATTTCGCGAATTTGAGGAAGTCAGACTGAAGCACTTTGAAGATTTTGCAATCCGAATCATTCCCTAACAAATAGAAAACAAAATCGCGATTCCGTTTCATCCGCGCAAACAGAGGATAAAAATATAAGACCCCTTTTACATCACGTCACTGACAATCATTTAATGTTCAGAAAGCATCGATCCAAACACTCGGAAGCCTCTTCCGGATTTCATGCAAAAATCATCCCGTAATCGACGAATAACTCTTGCCAAAATTTGCTGATCGCGTGACTACACGGAAGCGGTGGAACATTGGAAAGCTATAACTAAAAAATACCGGTTGATATCGTGAACGATTTATCAAGCAAAGGCATGTTATGAAATGCGTCTGCATAGAAGAAAACCCAGAAAAAAAATTTTCCCTCGCAAAAAAAAAACTGCACTCACATCATACGACGCACAAACATTTTCGGAAGCCAATATTATTATTAGCTAAAAATCACTCATGCAGAATTTCCATCAGCCGATGTTTCGGGGGCTTCTATTATTGGAGTTGCTGAATTGTTGGATAATTCTTTGCGTGTTTTAAACCCCCGGTAATGCGACTGGATTTTTATTGCAGCAGCAGCAGCTTCTTCGTCATTGCCTTGGTCGGTGTCGACGTCGACGACCCCAGTATTGGCATCTGATGCCACCGGTGACGAGGTTCTTTCATTGATTGCCTGATCAAATTGCTGTCCTGATTCTTCCCGTGGCATCGTTGCTCCGGTCAACCTGATTGTAAAGCAATATAATATGAATAAATACTATTCAAATTATAGGCCATTTTTCAGTCATGTATGTTCAACATTCAAAAAATGTTACGCAGTGCATGTATTCTACATTGTGAAATGTATGCTTTTCTTTGCCTTCAAATAAATCCTTTCATGACAGAGTCTTCACGCAGGACATGAATGACACTTGATAATTTTTTTCTGCTGAATCATCACAAGCTGTTGAACTTGCGATCAGGAAGCATATATATTTTAATTCGCGTTTATAATCATTTAAATATTTCTTATTTTCGCAGAGATTTGCCTTAGCCTCGTTGTGGTTTTCTAAGAACTCATGCAAATGTTATTTATACTCGCTAAAATATTACACAATGTTTATTCAAGGGCGATGAAAATGAGCCGAACTTATCATAATTTCAAGAATATTCCCGATAATTCTCTCTATTCTTATGCGGTTGCATCACTCTTCATGCACGAGGTTTCTCTCGAAATATTTTCGGTTCAAACCTGTGTTCTCGATAAATTGTTTGAAAACTCCCAAATCCGTTACGTGAAAATAGACACATTTGAGTAGCTCCTCGAAAATGATTGTAACTACTGTATAACTGCAGGATTTATAAAAGTGAAACATATTTTTATCTTGGTGCGGATTACGTTTCGATTTTCAAAATGTTCACACTGGATTTAATATAAAAATATGAAAAGAAGATTGGATTTCAAACTTCGAAGATTTTAACTACAGTAGTCTGTGAAATCCATTTCGAATAGCCTAGTAAAAATTTTGAGAAAGCGTTCCCCGAGGGAAGAGTATAGCCAAAAAAAAATTTGTCAACCTTTTTAAAATACCCCCTGGATGTAATTTATCCTTAAATAAGTCATGCAATTGCGAAGAGATTTTCCTTGAAAAGCGGGGACGATTATACGAGTACCACGTCTCATCACAAATGTGTTATTCAAAAAATCCTGAAAATGTGGAAAGTTTTATATTTTGGTTTGCGATGAGGGCGATGCATCAGAAGAGATTTTCCTTGAAAAGCGGGGACGATTATACGAGTACCACGTCTCATCACAAATGTGTTATTCAAAAAATCCTGAAAATGTGGAAAGTTTTATATTTTGGTTTGCGATGAGGGCGATGCATCGAGACTTCGATAATTCATGTTCATAGACCAGAAAAGATGGTGACTCAATGCTAAATTAAAATAAAACGTAACTTCATGCGACATCTACTCGCGATGAAAAGGTATCGCCCATTTCGATTTTGCGCGCGATTTTTTTTTAGGAAAAACCACTTCTTGCACATTAATTTTTATGGGATAACCTGTAAATTTCACTCGCTATTAATTCATCAACCCACACACACACACACCACGGATACACAACAAAGAATCAGATGAAGAATTATCATGGTTTCCTTTCACAGCACCGAATGCATTTTTACCCGCATTGCTCATCACCGTTACAATTAACCCCAAAACTACCTCGAGAAAAAAATTGGGATTGGAAAAATATTGAAGGAGGTGAAGACAGCAGCGACATCTGCGAACACATGTACGCACCTATGCCGTCACCCGCACCTGCTCGGACTGCAACTCACTCTCACAATCACAAACGCATGCATCAACAAGACCACAACCACGTAAGGTATCATAAAGCCTATTAACCTCCCATCATCCGTGTTGATCTCGACGGGATCCGGAGTCCGCTCGACGTCGTCGACGTTCGATGACACCGGCTCCGACGCCTGATCCTTATTGAGCATGTTCTTCCGGGTTCTGTAGCCCCTGTAATGGGCCTGGATTTTCGTGGCGGCCTGTCGATGCTGGCGTTGCTGCTCAGACACGCGTTTCCGCGTTTGGTAGCCCCGATAGCGGCTCTGGATCTTGGTGGCGGCGGTGTCGGCGTCGGCGTCGGTTCCCACGGTGCCTGTCGGGCGGTGGAAAGCAGGTGTAGGGCGGCGTTTCGTGACGGCGGCCGTCATGGTGACGCGGAAGCTCACGTAAAAGTCCACGTCAACGTCGACGGCTTCCGAGTCGTCAGCGTCATCCGTACAAAAGGATGACGATGTCGACGACGACAGTGGGGAAGCGGAAGGCGGTTGTTTCGCATGCATCCGGCAAGCAGCAGAGGCTACGAGTTTATTTTGTACAAGCACGGGAAGAAGCAGAGAGGAAAGGCCACGAGCAAAAGAAAGACAGAAAAAAGCTAGGTATACTGGAGTACCCCGGATAATGGACGCCTCGCGCATCGGCTTTCTATTTCCATCGACCACTAATGGAGTAAAATCTCGGTATTGTACAGCAAATGCTATCACAACAAATTGTTCAGTATAACAAAAATTTTCGAGGAATGTTCGATAGATTCTCATCCGAGTAGAAATTTTCTGACCTCAAAGATGACTGACTGATTCTTGTACCATGGGATGGAAGCTTTAATCCATGACAAACAAGCTTCCATAACTGTGATTCCACACCTCACTGTCTCAGAATTTAAAATTTTAACATCATCCTCCCAGAATGAAGATATTTATTGGTGCAACTTATGGAATGCATGATTGAATCTAAATTTTTTCAGTAAATCACTCAGTATTTCAAAAAACAATTTACAAATCTGAGAATGACCAGCATAGGCAGATCAGATGCGGAACTTTTCTTTCAGTAATTAATTTTTAAAAGCAAGTTATAAGAAAGCATTATCAGTGAAACAAATTTTTTTTTGAAGTCCCCGAAAGTTTGTTGCAACTTCTAAAATGTTATACCCGAATTTAAGCGGAAGCCCTTTTCCTATATGTCATCATGAAGACTTTTAGCTTCTGAGAAACTTTTTTCAAGTGTCGGTCGTAGAAAAACAGTTCAACTATTTTGTTAAATCAGCATTTGTATTTTGAAGATTTTTTGCTCGTATTTGTTTCACTATTTTTTCAAATTCGCCAAAGACCAGCAGATATTGTATCTACCACAGAGAATTTCATGAAGAAACGTTCCTATTGGCCTCGAATAGATTTGCCATTTCATTTAGCAGATCATAATTAATTTAAGAGGCGCTTCAGTGGATTTTAATGAATAAAATATTTTGCCCCGACTAAAGTGGCTGCGTCGGATAGAAGATTTTTATACTACTGTACTACGAATATTTGCGTTCATTAATTGAACCCTTATGACAACCGACTGAATTGAAAATTTAGCCAGCATAACTATTTTTCAAAGGAGCCTTTTCGGTATTACTCACTGTTGTGTTATGAGCACTTTCATTCGTTGTTATGCGTTCTTTCGTTCGTTAGTATTGTTTTCCTAAAAAAAGAAGTATTATTCCGCCACAAGGGATCTCATTATAAAGAATTTATGCTTTCCACGAATTTTTCTTCCGGCCCTGGCCCATGGCCACGATATTATTATTTTTTATTTGCTTTCAACGAATTTTATTTTAAAATAAAGCTTTTTTCAGGTCCAAAACGCCTCGTTGTAACGAGATTCTACTTGTTACAGGCACTTTTCAGACGAGAATATCCCTTCAAAACCGCTTTGAATGCCTGATCAAGCTTAGTTGAAACTAAATTTAAAGAATTTGCCGTTTTATTATTTAGCATTACATTATTCAGTTGACGAGCTCGTCAGATGATAAATTTTCATATATTCTAAAGCGTACCAAGTCCATTAACCGAGGCACAACCATCATCACTGACGATGCGTCACTCAGAGGGGTTAGTTAGTACAGTATAGAAATTAAAGCAACACTGCTGTACAGGTGTTAAATTTCAGATTTGTTTTAGGCATGCTGAAAGTCACCTTCACCGTGTCGAAACTGTTTATATACAGTACATCTTGGACAAGAAAGTAGACCATTTTGTGAATCGTCATTATCCTGGACGGTCTGAGATATTGCTTTCGAAAAAAAAAGATTATAAAATTTTCTTTTTAGACGTGCCTGCATTCTAAAGTCGTTGTTGTATTTGCCTGGCTTATGACCAGCATCGTTGAGAAGATGAGGTCAATTGAAATATTGTTTGTTGTTTCAAATCGGAGGATTTGTCCTAGTTCAGCAAGGCTTTCAAATAATTCCCAGATAGCCAGCCAGGAAGTTCATAACTTTGATCAGTTCAGAATTCTGAACTTGCTGATACCTTGATACAATTTTTCAACCATATGTTCTAAAAGTATAGTGACGACAAAAAGTATTCCCGTTATTATGGCTATTTATTTTCCCGATAATATGCAGCCTTGCTCTGAGACAAACATTTCAGAATTTCGTAGCCTACGTTGGAGTTTTGTATTCGAAGGATTATTCGGAAGTTTAGAAATTCGTGCAAGTAACAAAACCTTTCAATAATTTTTATTTTATTTTTATACCTCGAGCTTTTGGAAAAGAGCAAAGAAAGCTGGTTTCTGCCACCACTTGAATCGCTTTTTTTTTTCATAGTTACGTGCATCCCTGCAAATAAATCGTATTGAGATTTTTCGGAATACTATACTTCGAAAATTTTGAACCATTCGGAACGATGTAAGTTACGATGCCTGGATTACTAGTTTGAATAATTTATGCAAAGACGCGCGAAACGAGGACAATCCTTAGAGCAAATGTTTCAAGCCTATGCTCTCATAAGAACCGATGAATCACAATTTGTAATGCATTCCACTTCTTGTTGATCATGCGCATGCAGCTATAATCACAAAATTTAATATTATTCGAACAGCATTTTCGAATTTACTTGAATTTAACGGGTTGTTCTTTTCTCTTTTCTCAAAGTACTGTAATACAGTAGTTCTATTCTCAAAGTAATGTAATACAGTAGTTCTTTTCTCAAAGTACTGTAATAGCTCAAACAGTGCAGTAATTCCGATAGTTAAAGATTGTCTACTTTTTTGTCCAACGCGTATAATACATTTTGTGTTTCCAATGAATGAATCCCACAAAAATGCAATCCTTCCATCACCAGCTTTTTTATCTTATTTTGCATAATCCGAAAAAAATACTCATCAGAACAAGAATTAATAATAATTTGACTTGAATGTTTAATCATCTCGACAAATTAAATCTTAAAATTCAAGCACGTACACAAAGAGAAAGTCACACAGCTTTTGTTGTTGGTTGAATTCAACTCACAAGTATTGGCCAAAATGGGGGGAAAAAATTAATATACAATTACTAATGTGATAAGCGAAGAACATGTCCGAAAATCACTTCTTGAAAGTCACGTTATTCGGATGCTGTAGCATTTCTTCTCTTGCCATGCATTGTGAGCTGATAATTATCACAGCCTGATTTTCAAAAATCGTTTCTAGGGCTTTCTAAAAGCTTTTTGTTTTCGCTGGAAAATCATGCATGCTGTACAATAATAGGCATTTTGTTCAGCAGATGACGTTTCTACGAGTTAGTTATTAATTTTTTAGACTTCCATGGATCTCAGGTCATTTTTTAGATATTCAAGGTTTTTTAACATATCTCTCTATATGCAGTATTTCTGTCATTCACCCGTCACTCAGCTCGTACAGATTAAGAAGATTTCCGTTTTAAAAAAGTCCGCAAGCACCAAATAGTTTGAAACAGTTCGTCAGGTCAGAGTCAAAGTACAGCGTTTGTCGAATAATTTCTTTTTCACCTCGTTTTTTTTGTGATTTGTACAAAATGGAAGCGAAAAATCAGCACGATTGAGTCACGTGATGCTCACCAGCAGATGAATTTCCGGAATGAAAGTCGCCATCATCGGCGATCAATAAATCCTTTTCATTATTGTTGGAAGGATCTTTTGCGAGTTGATCGGATTCAGCCTCGGTTGCTAGGGCTTTGAGCTGCTTTCGCGTCAGATATCCTCGAATCTGAGCCTGGATTTTTGTGGCCGCGTGACGGCTTTCAAAATCATCGTCAGTAGTCCCGTCGATGCAATCGACACTGCTGACGGCGCCGTGACTCTTTCGTTGATGCTGGCGCTGTTGCTTCAAGCGTTTGCGAGTGAGATGTCCTCGCACACCGGCTTGAATTTTCGCTGCTGCTAATTCTAAATTTAGAAAAAGAGAAAAGAATGAAAAATAATTAGGATCTGAAATGAATGAATGAATGAACAGAACACTTCATTTGCTGATTTTAAGTGTTCACAAGGTTCAATCAAGATTTCCACAACCAAACCCCCTTCCCACCCAACCCAAATCTACTCAATGACATTTAATCACTGCAGAGCAGGAAACAGAGCACAAATTGATAACAAAAATAAAATACAATCCATGAAATACAACTGGACTTCTGACATGTATGCATACACCAATTCATTCCCTGACATTGGAAACAGAATATATGTAAAAATTAATTTAAAGCACAAGGTCTTCAGCTTGTTTCTGTATAAGGTTTAGTTGAATGAACAAATTAGAGAGAATCTTTGATGAGAAATCATATAATGCCAACAGTTTATCTTGATCCTTTAAGATTTCAGAGAGGGTCTCTTCATTGAATTCCAATACTTGTAAATCTTTCTTAAGCTTGTTTCCATCAGTATGAAAGGCTGGACATGAGAAGAGAAGGTGCTGAAATAACACGTTTTTTTCCGTTACGGTTGAACATCTTGTTCAACAATCAAAATATTCATGAACAGCGGGATTATTGAGAATCGGTATTGGGCTTCAAAAGTCAACATCACACTTCCAAATTTATCACTTCTCAATTCAAGAAACCTGAAAAACGATGAGACATTATCCTCACATTCGATGTCACCTCCATTTGGGCTAATAAGCAAAGTCCAACCTGAGACGATTTTCTGATTTAAAAAACAAAATAAAAACAATGTCAATATCGTATCTTCAGTCTACTTTAATTGAGTCCCACAAACAATTATCGCATTCGTTAATTGTCTCAACTCATCTTCTGTTGCTGTTGGCTTTGCGTTGAAGTGTGGTTTCTTGTGCTGCAATCAAAATCGCTGAGTCGATCTGCTCGTTAGGACTTGAATTATTCACCAGACTTTTATGAGTTTTGGCTAAATAAATTCATATTTCCAGTCCTGTATTACCTGATTGGTGCGTTCTGCTTTAATTTAGAAAACCTTTTTTTCAACAGTATCTTATTCCAGGCTTCTTGCTGTTTTTTAATTCACCTCTAAAAACGGATCGAAAAATAATCATTCGTTAGAGCTGTGTCAAAGCTTCAATAATTCGCCAAAAAAATTGATTCATGGGAGTTTCTTACTCTCAAACTCAAGCATACGAAGAAATACATAAAGAGTCCATGCGTGGCAAAAGTTAATCATTAAAGACGAAATGCATCCGATTCCAATTACTTGCAACTAATTTCATCAGTAATTCTTTCTCCTCGACTATGTTTAGGTTTTCGCATCCACATAATGGCAGTATTTAAAAATGTTCAACTGATAATTTAGATTTCTGTAACGCATTCAGTGACCTTGCCATCGGTTGTAATGCATTAAAAGTCGTCATTTTAAATTTGAATTTTGTTTTTTCAAGTGTGGTCACGTTATTGAAAGAAGGCAAACAGAGAATTACTTGAAGGAAACCTCGCGATATGAGACTGTGAATATTGCAAAGATATTTGGAGCAACCGCGGCAAGGGTGAGGAATTTTCTAAATTCTTGTAGAATTCCACCCCGTTTTCATATTAAGGGACATACATTCGCAAAAGCATATTTTAGTCAAAAAATTTAAAAAAGCTTCGAGAAGCGAAAAAATTCACACACTCGTAGATATTTCCCGTAATCATTTGATTTTTCTGCGACATTGGGACCATCTCTACAGCAAATGGACTTTATCGGACACCTGCTCAAGTAGTTTTTCACATCTGGGCCGTTTAACATATGCGTTTTTGGGTTCTTCTGTGAGTGAGAGTGCGAAGCAAATCATGAAAAAAAAGTATGACAGTAAGTCAATAAAATTCAAACGAGTCCCAACTACCGTAAATCTAATCCAAAAATTTAAGCGTATTGTTTTTCTTTGATTCGAAGGCTTAAAATCCACTACGTACAATAACGATCTTACGAGCATAATTTATACAGTTCTGGGGCTAATGATAAGGCAGACGCTAATAAGTAATACGGTACTATCATTAACTTCACGAAGGAAGACTGAAATTGACATACATCCACTTCTTAATTGCCATTATACTTGACCGTAAATTCATTAAATATTAAAATATAAAACTGGCCATAGTAAACTTGGACTGAACTGGAAAAATGCAGCATTTTCAAAGATCTCATTAAAACTTTGACAGAAAATAGGTTTTCCACACCGTGTAATTAGCATTTTCGAGTGGCATTTCTGAGTCTTATTTTCAAACTTTATCTCGAATAAAATGCACAAGCTGTGTTGGACGGGACGAATTATTTCGCCGAAAAATATAGTAAAAGGATGTATAGAAAACACGCATTCATCGCTCTCCGCCAATTTTTTAGATTCCATTTCCATTTCTTTTTTGCCGTTTTATTCAGGAAAGGCAAAAAAATAAAATGAACGAGAAATATCAGCTTGAAGCGTTGAAATGGTGTAGCTATTTAAGAATGTATCTAGTCATCATGTCTCACACTTTAGACCGATTCATTCCTCTAAATCTTGGAAAACCTTAAAAAAATTGCATAAATTTCCGTCGGTAAAAACAAATCAGGAAGTCCAACAACAACAACAACAACAAACACCAACGATTGCAAAACTTTCAAGGACAATCAACCAAACTGACCTTCCGCATCCCTGCTGCTGTTGCTGATGGAAGCCTCATCGACATTCAACAGCAAATTCATCGGATCGGAATCATGTTGGCTTCCAGCATCAGCAGCCGCTCTTTTCTGATGATGCCCGCCGGAATGAACTTCCCGCTCTTTTCGGATCCGCTTTCGAGTCATGTACCCACGAACACCGGCTTGAATCTTGGCTGCAGCCCTGTCTTGGGCACCCAGGGAAACCCTGCGTTTGCCATCACCAGCACTTTTCACCCTTCCGCCCTTGAGCCGTTTGCGCGTCAAATAACCTCGCATGCCTGCCTGAATCTTGACGGCTGCCTGTTCAATCTCGAAGTCCAAAGAAGTGTCGTCCTCACAATGCAGGTTATGCCGGTGCTTGTTATTGTGGGTTTGGTGACGACTGCTGTGCTGGCCGTGTTGAAGATTTTTGCGGGTTTTGTAGCCACGGTAGCGGGCTTGGATTTTCGTGGCTGCTTCCTCCGCCTCAGGTAGATTTTCTGCTCAAGTACGCAGAAAATTTGCGTAAAGAAAATGAAAAGATCCATCAATTGTCGCAGAAATGAATTCATTCATGCGTTTAGAAACAAGGCTTTTGAAGTCACTGTTTGCACCAGAAGATTGTGCTTCAGTGAGATAAGAATCTGGCATAAAGGTTTTCCAGATTCTTATCACCAAAGAAAAGTTAGGTCCAGAAAAGTAGGATTACCTCAAGATCGGTTAGTTGGATCAATTTGTATACAATGAAAGAAAAGTTAGAAAACATCTTTAGCTTACATTTGAAATGTAGTATTTTTTATGTCAAAAATTCGCTGAGTTATTTGCTTTGGAAGTTCGTGCATTAGGAATTGCGCCAGACGCAAAGCATGTTTTCTTCGCTGATTTTATTTCATTTTGGAAACAATTTTTATTGCACAATGTAATATTGCATTTGGTGATTGTGTGTGTGAGTCTTTTCTTTATGAAACCTGTGATCAGGGACAAAGATGAAGTCCTCTTTCAACATCCAAAGAGTGAGGATGCTCCAGCTTCCCTTATTTTTGCAGCCATAAATGTACAGTAGTTTAACACTTAGAAATAAATTCCCTTGGAGGCTGGGTAACTGCATCAGCACTTAGATGTCTCTTGCATCTTGCATTTTTTTAATGGAGCTTAAAATCTGTAATAATTAATTCATGACTGATTAGCAGATATTGATCAGATGATTCTCAGAACTTGTAAACTAAACCAAGGTTGATATAAATGGACCTTGATAACTTGAACCTCCATAATAAAAATACCTATCTATGTCAAGTTTTTTTCAAGTCCCTGTCTTGATTCTCTGAGCAAAAATGCATTAAAAACCTCCCTAACTAAGCTTTCCCCCTCGAAACTCCATAACTTGAATTTTCTGGAGGTTTTTTGGCAGTTACAGAATTTTTTGACACAGGAAAGAAGAATGCAATAACAATGCATCTTGGAGTGCTTTGATAGCAAGTGGAAGAATAATTGTGCAAAAATAAGCCCTTGTCTTCGACTTAAGAATCCTGTCAACTCATTTAGGAAGCAGTTCAAGTCCCAGAATATCATCAACTGCAATTTCCTGCTATTCTTCTTCCTTTACCCTGACAAGAATGGTTGTTTCCTTAACTTCTTACCTCTCTAATTCGGATTTTGTGCTGGTCTCTTTAAGTTCGATTTAAATTGGTGTGACAGTAACTCAAAAGTTTGTCCATCAACAGGTTGTCACAGGTTTCAAAACTCGATCCAACCGGAAAAATCCCTCAACTCCCGACATGGAAATACAGCTTCAGAATCGCAGTTTTTTTTTTATCTGAGAGATGGCTTCGAAAAGTTTGTGAAAAATTGAACCGAACTGTATCCCAAATAATTTGACATCATTCAAACAGAAATACTGTATTACCTCGAACTTGAAGATCGACCTGGATGAGCATGTGACCTGTGAAAATCTCACAGGAATAAGCTTTGTTCCATTTTTTTGGCTTCATAACATTTATAAATGCCATGACATTCGACATAACTTTATGTAATACCCCGATGTACATATGTAAGGGTAGATTTTTATTTACTGTATCATCAAAAAGAAGCATATATATTTGTTACATTGCCTCAATCCATTCATCATATTTTTCGAACATACATAGGTAAAAATCGAGCGAGAACGATTCTCAATTTCAGAACAGAACTTACAAGATTATCAAAATCAAAACCAACTGGATCATGTGTTTGAGTTCTTTTCATTAATTTTCAAATACCAGTTCAGCCAAAGGAAAAGTTGAGAATGTTTATCATAGGATAACCACTAATTTATTCGAAGTAAGTAAAACTTTCCGATCATATTTTTGAAGCACACACTGAAAAAAAAAATCTGTATCTGAAGCATTAATCGAACGCTTCTCACCCAACGCTGCGAATTCTTGACCTTCGAAACCAACTCCTGAATCCATGCAATTGGAAGCAAGGTCAGTTTTGCAATCTGTTCCACCGGCATTTCCAGCGAGCAGATCATTCTGAAGTCCAGCAGGTCCAGTAGTCATCATAAAACTTTTCGACACTTCAACATCACTAGCGTGATCCTAAATAAAACGAGGAAAAAACGTGTGAAAAAAGTACTCGTTTTCCGGTCTCAAAAAAAAAATTTTTTTTCAACCTGAGCGTCCAGAAGGAAAATGGCCGTTTTTGGCTCAATATTTTCAGAGTCAAGGTTCCTGGCTTCAGCAAGTGTGGCTTCGTACATTAGCGATTCAGAAGTGTTTTCAATATCTTTTTTATTCTGAGGAAACTTTTCTTCTGACATCACATGCGAAAAGGTATTTCCTGCGTCAATTATTTGATCTGATCTGCTTGGACTCGGGGATAGATTTTTTCGGGTCAAGTGACCCTTGTAATGAGCTTGAATTTTCGTTGCGGCCTGATTCTCCTCAGCAGTAAATTCCACATTTTCTGTCGATGGCGATTCAATCACGACTTCTTGATCAAGTTCAGGTCCAAGTAAATTTTTCCTCGCCAAATGACCCTTGAAATGAGCTTGAATTTTCGTTGCGGCTTGATTCTCCTCATCAGTAAATTCCACCACGTTTTCTATCGATGGTGATTCAATAATGACGTTTTTGTCGAGTTCAGGTTCTAGTAAATTTTTCCGTGCCAAATGACCCTTGAAATGAGCTTGAATTTTTGTTGCTGCTTGATTCTCCTCATCAGTAAATTCCACCACGTTTTCCATCGATGGCGATTCAATAATGACGTTTTTGTCGAGTTCAGGTCCTAGTAAATTTTTCCGTGCCAAATGACCCTTGAAATGAGCTTGAATTTTCGTGGCGGCTAAATTTTCCTCGTCCGTGAATTCGTCAAAAGCGTTGATTTCATCAACAATTGCGATTGACGAAGGACTTTCTGAAGCCTGGATGATGAGTTCTGGTTCTTCTGGGGTCGGATTTCCGATTCCTTTTTCGACTAGAGAACCCTGCTTTTCGGGTTCTTCGGGCTCCAAGGCAGCAGCGATGCCTTCCTTGATTTCGTTGATTTCCTTCCGGGCCAAGTGACCTTTGAAGTGGGCTTGAATTTTCGTAGCTGCATGGTTCTCCATTTCAAGGAGATCGGCAGCAGCCTTTTCTTTCACCTCTTGCATTTCTTTGCGAACTTTGTGCCCCTTGAACTGGGCTTGAATTCTCGTTGCTGCTTGGTTCTCAGCTTCCGAAAAGTCGTCGAGGATTTCGGAATTTTCGATGACACGATCCGAATCAGCAACAGGTGCTGGTGGTGAATGATGCAAGCTGGACTTTTTTCTCAGCTCTTCCACTTCTTTCCTGGCTTTGTAGCCTTTGAACTGGGCTTGAATTTTGATAGCTGCTTCATTCTCGACTTCATCTTCCGTGTTTTGAATCTCTGCTGCTGCTGCTGCTGCTGGTGACTGATCAACTCGATGCTGCTCGAGTTGGGAAAGTTTCCGCATCTCCTCAACTTCCTTGCGAACTTTGTGACCTTTGAACTGAGCCTGAATTTTTGTGGCTGCTTGGTTTTCCAGCACATAATCTGCATCATTGGTGGTGGATGGGTCTTGAGAATCCCCGGCGGGTTCAACTTCCGCAACCGAATCAACAGCAGTTTCTTTCGGAACATTGGAGCGTCTTTTCAACTCCTCGACTTCTTTCCTCGCTTTGTGGCCTTTGAACTGAGCCTGGATTTTCGTAGCTGCCTGATTTTCAAGCTGAAATGCTTCATCATCAAAACTTGTAATGACTTCAGCAATTTCATCTTTGATATTTGGTAAGGGAATATTTTCAGAGCTCTGAAGCTTGGAATCTGCTTCCAGCAGGTTGTCTTCTGGTTTTGCTGCCAATTTCTCGGATATTTCAGCTTCCGGGACATCTGTGGAATTGGTCAAAGTATCAGTTGATAAATAAATTCAAGTATGGAATTGTTTTATTATCGTGGGATAGAAAATTATTGAGTTCCTGCGGACATAATGTCATTGAAATGTTATCATAGAAGGATTATTTTCAGAAATATTTCACGCAGACACAGACGAACTTTCGTATCTGACCTACAATATTAGGCTTATAAATGATTATTCACTTATACAGTATAATCCCTAGCACATTTGATTTTACCGTTTCGAACGAGTTATGGATCTAGAATTTCATGTTTAATACTGCTGAACAACAATTTGAAAATGCGTACAACACGAAGTAGAATCTTGCGTAAAGATGAAAAAGATTGAGTTACCGCGAATTTAACTATTTATCTTTCAACGAATTATTTTCAGAAATACTTTATTTTAAGCATACGCAATATTTGGCGTCAGACCTACAATATTATCCAAATTTTACAAATGATTACTTACGTAATCCCTATATCATTTTATTTTACCATATCGAATACGTTATGAACATACATTAGATTTGCACGTTTAATGCGCCACAAGAAGCAATCAAAATCACACATGTGCAGGCACCCATTATTTTTGAAATTTTAAGTTTATCAAAGGAATGCTCTAAAAACATAAAATTAGGAAAAAGTAGGAAGGTTTCGCCAAACTACAATTTTAATGAACAGCCTACAGAATTTCTGGAAGGGCTATATCAATTTATTTTTTTCCCAGTTCCAACGTCATCATCGTGAGTGGAAACGGAAATCTTTTGGATTCGAAGGCAGGAAGAGGGACTAAATATGTTTTTTTCTTTTTAGGAAAACCTTTGCTTAGAATTTGACAGGTTTATAAGGCCTTATATCCCACTCACCCGTACAGTCGACTGTAGGAGGAAGTGACGGGCTAACGGAAGTCTTCCGGATCTCATCCACTTCCTTCCTGGCCAGGAAGCCCTTGTAGTGGGCCTGGATCTTGGTGGCAGCTGCATTCAGCTCATCGACATCAGCGTCACGCACGTCATCGTCGAGTTGGACAGTGACGTCGTCCCCGGTCGCCAGGAATACCGGAGGTGACGAGATGACGAGGTCTCCGGCATGTGGAGCAGCAGCTGACGCCTTGGGTGCGGGCTCGGGTTCCGTTTCCGCGGTCTTGGTTTCCGGCTCGGAAAGTTCCGCTTCGGAACCCGGGTCGGACTCGGTGGACTGCAGTACCGGAAGCGGGATTCGGATTTCGATCTCTTTCTCTTCTGACCCTGGCAACAACGAAAGCAACAACAAAAAAGAGCATCGGAAAGTTGCTTCAAAATAGGATACTTCCGGTTTCTTAATGTGGTATAGTGACGTTGGTCACAAATGGAAAAAAAAACGTAGGCCAAAAAAAAAAAACGTGTTGACCGTATACTCCGAAATTACGTTCGTCATGTTTTGTGTCAGTAGCTTGAAAAATTCGAAGCACTGCTGTTGAATTTCATGAAGGTGTAACGCTGTTTATTAGTACTGCATCTTCAAATTTTTTAAATCCCTGAGAGAGGAAACCACATTGTTGCTCATCAAATCGTATCTGAGAATTTCGGAAATCAGAGGAAACCACGATGTTGTTCTTCAATCCGTACTAGAAAGCAACTGTTACAATCAGCATATCATTTACTTGTTTTTGACAAATAATCATAGCAATTGTAAAATTAATCCAGGAAATTCACAGGAAAAATTTTTTCTAGGTAGAGTATTTGAAATATCATCATCAACTGCATGAATCATTATAATAGGGTATCATCAGCATGCTATTTCAAATTTTTCTTCAGTAAACGGGTGAATTTTAAAATTTTGTGGCGGAATTATTCGGTATGTTAAAAAGTACCACACATCTACGCACTTTGTACGGTAAATTTGTCGGAGGAAAAACCATGAATAATCGAGAATATTCCAGAATTTACTCCCTTTTTCAACAGCCAATCTAGGATTGAACTGTGATTTATCAGAAGAGAGTGAGGGAGAGAAAACAAACTGCCGCCATGTCATGGGATTCCTCAGACAGTGCAGCACAAGATTTCATCAAATTGAGTTGTGTGTGATTTGTGTGTAAAAAAAAAGTTCCATTGTTGTGTAAAAACATGATCCACTGCACCCAAGGGTACGACGAACGTTAAGGCTCTTTTGTGCAATAAAGACGCAAGCATTTGACTCCTTGAGGCATGCCTCTTCCTTGTATTTCCATTAATGGGATAGTTTGGCTTGCAAATAGACGAATGAGGCCAAGACTCTCTCACATATAAAAAAAAAGAGCCCATGAACAGCAGAATGTTCGGCCTATTCTGGAGCATGTCTCCCTCTTGCTGGCTGTAACTCAGAATGCAAGTGCTCATTCTGCACGTGGTATGTCGACCGGCAGACTCAAACAGAAAAGGGGATTCGCTTCCCACGATACAGGCAATAAATATTCGAATAAAAGGTAACGAATATTTGAAAAAAAAAGGTACAGTAATTCGTATTTAGATAATGCGTAAAGAGTACGAGGGAATTATTTAATTTCAAACACAGAATTTCCGCAACATTCCGAAATTGGAAGCTCTTGACGCGTGAAAGACATTGATAATACATTTTGACAAATGGATACACATTATATGCTGTACTGAAAACGAAAAAAGTATAAATATGTGCCTGCAAAATCAACCTCAATAATTATGTACGTTAAAACCTTTCACAAGTATATATATACAAACTGTTAGAAATCTTTGAAAGCTCTCAAAGTTAATAAAATTGGCAAAAACTTTTCATTGATAGATATACCGTATTTACTCAATTACCAGCAGGTGCACCTTTTTTCTCAAATTTCAGAAGAAGAAAAAAGGGTACGCGTCATACAAATTTTTCAAGAAGTTTTAGAAAGTTATATATGCATTATACTTAATTACAATGGAGAAATTTGGAAAAAAATTAACAAGAAAACCGTTTTGCACTCAAAAAGTTGAAAATTGATCAGATATTTGTTCAATTCCTGTCTAAAGTCCATTTTTTGTTTCTATTTTAAAAATTTTGTGGTTTTAGATTCACTAAAAATTGGGATGCATGTCTTACTCAGGGATAAGATTTTAGCCAAATTTCCAATGAAAAAACCCCTGTGCACGCCTTACTTGAGGGTGCTTGGTACTCAAGTAAATACAGTATAATCTTTGCTGCACTCCCACTTTCATTAAACATGCTCACAGATCCAAAGCCTCTATGGTGTGGTTCCAATTCAACATTGATGCAGCATACATTGAAATTTCAAAATATTTAGAACCAAGCGTAGGTTTTCTTACTTAAAATAAGATTAGATTATTGAGTCATACCGCAGTTTTTGAATGGAAATTTAAAAATGCTGATCGACTTCTGAAAGGAAATGTTTGTGTTTATTGGGGATTTCCCCATACAAATAGGATTCATGAGCAAAACACCACAATCAGCCTGGGATTGGCTGGGAGCCTCCTTGTTGAGGCTCCAAGAAATTGATTATTTATTATTGTCCCAAAAGAATGAACAACTCAGAATCATCTGCAAGAAAAATACACAATACACACAATATCTCAGAGAATCAGTTTAGGAAATGGAAGCAAAGCATGGGGATGATATTCTCAATGATAATGTGCTGTTGAATTCAAGTATTTTAGGCTCTTATGCATTAATTATTGGGGAAGGGTTGTGTTAAACTTGTTTGCTGTGAAGGTTGGGATTCTTTGCTGTTTTCTGATTGGGTAAGAGGGGTAAAATCAAACACAATATGCAGCATTGTCTACAAGTTTTGAAGGTTCTTGGGGGGCAAGTTCTTTGATGCTGGGCTCTCCGTAAGCCCCAAGAGGGTTCAATGGATTCAGGGTGGATTATTATATACCGTATTTCATTTCCGCCATGCGCCTCAGTCCCCAACAGTTTGAGAAAGGATTCTCATTACTTGTTCAGGTTTTTTCCTTTCTCCAATCTATTGGTGAACATAGATAGACAGGCAATAGAAAACGAACCTTGCTTTATTTGGGTTCCATTATTGGACTCTTTCGCGTAGCCGGCGGCATCTACTTCATAGACGGACCCTTCGTCATTCACGAACAGTGAATCCTGGTCAGCAGGCTTGCTGTTGCCATTGGCAATAACTTCTTGGTCATTTCCGGTGACGGTTTCCTGGTTGACTTTGTGACTTGCATCGCTTTCGGGCTGCACTTGGACGACAATGTCATCCGCCACAACCGGTGCGGAACTGTCCTCCTCGTCGTGCGAACTCTCGCAAGGGCTTTTTATGCGTGAAAACAAATTCCCCATCGAATCCTGCGGAAATTTTGGGTCAAATTCATTTACAAATGGGTACTGGATGGAGCACAGCAGCCTCGCGTCAAACTGAGTCACATATACAGTGAGACCCCCACGACATGTAGACACCATATTGACATGAGGACAATTCAACATAGGGACATTTATTTTTCAATAAAAAGGGTATAGAAAATACAGATGGACACTGACTTGACATGAGGACATTGCATGATAAAATTGGCAATAAATCTAACAAAAATGGACTTTTATTTGGCTTGATTGCAAGAAACAGATATTTCCAAACATCAGATTCATGCAAGAAAATTTCTTTGTTATTTCTCCCATCATTTTCCTATCCATTCAGCTAATTAAAAAAAGATACCTATTGCATAGAGGGACTTCCTTTGCTCTTGGTGACTCAAATGTTATTTTTGTAGATACCAACATTTCAATGTACAGTACAGAGATACACTATTCAATGCTCCTTTACAAGAATAACTCAACTTTTATATAAGTCTGAATCAAATTCAAGTGGCAAACAATTTTTTTCACAGTATTCTGAAGGATATTTCTTCCATAAAACACCAATTAAAAATTATATAATGTAAATCTATGGGAAAAGAAGACTCAACTAACGGACAATTCAACTTAGGGACACTCTTGATGCACTGAGAATGTCCGCATCTGGGGGTCTCACTTATCATTCAAATTTTTCAAAGAATCTCAAATCTTCCTTCCCCAGCATCAGAGAGGAAGCATTCAAGACCCTCGCTCGGGTATCATTCAAATAATATTCATCATCAGTGTGAAATAACGAATTTTCGATCATTCACGAAACCAGAGAATCCTAATATTCCATAGTTATTTAATTTGAATAATAAAAATTGAGAAAAATGCGCCTTTTGTTGGATTACGCCGGAAGTCACGGAAATTCTCTCATATTCACGATTGAAGGCTGCATAACGGAAAATGCGATTTGACTTCGAAAAATGTCTAAAAATGTATCATTCCATTAAAATTCCGGCATATTTTATCTTTCATCAGCAGGAACTCGAAGAACTTTGAAGAACGTCTTGAAAATGTGCCAGACATCAATTTCGAACCGCACAATTTCCTTCACTAAAATTACGAAAATCTGCCTTCATGCAGCCAAATAATTATTGCATAACGTGTGCCGTTTTCCATGTTTTCCATGTCATGATAAATTTCAAAAACCGAAAATCACGCAGACGAGGAAAAAATAACACGTAAGGCAGTATGTTAAATGAGATGCTACACTTCAAAAACATGAAAAATTCAGTAGGTAACAAAGCAGGACTTGTTCTACGTTCCCCAGACACTTTTTTTTCGTTTCTGTGTCAACGTCCCACATTCACGATAAAGCATGTTGGCCAATACATAAATAATTACGCCTTTGAAAAAAAAGAAAGAGACACCAACGGAAACCATTTTTTAGCACCCCAACACAAATGAAAAAACGAGGGCGGGAAAAGAACTGCCGACTTTGAAACGGTGCCAACATTTGCTAACAACTGCGTCATCGTGAACGTCATGTTCTTTAATTTTATTAAACACGCAGATTCATTGGATATTCTCGAATTTATCCTCGCTTTTTTTTTTTCTTTGTCAAGTCAGTGGCCACCGGGAATCAGAGTTTGCGTTAAAATTAGTTCAGCGTCAAATGGTGCAAATTTCGCCCAGGAGTTGCGACGACTCAACTTATTTTCTCGTGGCCGGAGTGAATTGAAAGGAGAAAGAATTAAAGAAAAAACAGCATTCCCGCCATAAAAAAAAATTTATAGGACAAAACGCACACATGATAAAATATTTCACATAAGTTTCCAAATGTGCAGACACAGTTGGGCGAGTTCCAAAACGGCACTTTCTAAAGCACAGCGTCTAAAACACCTGGTTGCCCGCAAAATGATACTGTACGAAAATACGCCAGCAGTTTGAAGAAACCCCAAATGCACAACAAATTCGTGAGAGTATGAGTTATTGTCAATCATCCGTGATTTAAAAAAATACTGAAAACTTTTATTAATTTCAGCCATTTCATTCAAGCGAGTCGGAAAACACTGTCGATGACTTATCTTAATGAACCAACTAGGTTGACTTTGTATGTGTTAACCAAAAAAGACACTGTAACAGGGGTTAAATTGGATGCTGTTCATTCTGTGCCTAACAAATTTTCTCAGGCGTTTTTTCATTCGCATCGAATGACATACGCTGCTATTAAATGACTATCCAAGGCCAAATCTACCATCGAAAAATCTACAAATTTTTTTGTGCTTTTACTTCAACGGAGGAGAAAAAATATTGGCCACAAGATAGTGCTGAATTTAGCTCATCGTACAAGTTGAATTCATTTGTCATGCCTCGAAAGGGAATTAGCATCTGCTGGCTGCCCCTGAAAAATTCGACATTTTCTATGTGCTACTTTTTCCTTCACAATGCTGAAAATATCCTCTTCAATGCTCGAAAAATTGCGGTGATATACCTCTTCGAATCTATGTAGGATGCTAATGAAGTTATTTCGATGATAAATTTGTGAAATGTTTCAAAAATTTCTGGAGCTTNAAAAAAGAAAGAGACACCAACGGAAACCATTTTTTAGCACCCCAACACAAATGAAAAAACGAGGGCGGGAAAAGAACTGCCGACTTTGAAACGGTGCCAACATTTGCTAACAACTGCGTCATCGTGAACGTCATGTTCTTTAATTTTATTAAACACGAAGATTCATTGGATATTCTCGAATTTATCCTCGCTTTTTTTTTCTTTGTCAAGTCAGTGGCCACCGGGAATGAGAGTTTGCGTTAAAATTAGTCCAGCGTCAAATGGTGCAAATTTCACCCAGGAGTTGAAACGACTCAACTTATTTTCTCATGCCCGGAATGAATTGAAAGGAGGAAGAATTGAAAAACAACAACATTCCCGCCATAAAAAAAATGTTATCGGACAAAACGCACACATGATAAAATATTTCGCATAAGTTTCCAAGTGTGCAGACACAGTTGGGCAAGTTCCAAAACGGCACTTTCTAAAGCAGAGCGTCTAAAACACCTGGTTGCCCGCAAAATTATACTGTACGAAAATACGCCAGCAGTTTGAAGAAACCCCAAATGCACAACAAATTCGTGAGAGTATGAGTTATTGTCAATCATCCGTGATTTTAAAAAATACGGAAAACTTTTATTAATTTCGGCCATATCATTCATGTGATTCGGAAAACATTATCGATGACTAATCTTAATGAACCAACTAGGTTGAGAAACATACACAATTGGTTTTTTCTGTGACATTGTCCCCAATTTAACCTACGACAAGTAAGACACGGATTGTTTAAAAGAGTCCGCAAAAAAGTAAGCGTAGCTTACTGTATGCGACGATAATTTACTCTATCCAAGGCCAAATCTACCATCGAAAAATCTACAAATTTTTTTGTGCTTTTACTTCAACGGAGGAGAAAAAATATTGGCCACAAGATAGTGCTGAATTTAGCTCATCGTACAAGTTGAATTCATTTGTCATGCCTCGAAAGGGAATTAGCATCTGCTGGCTGCCCCTGAAAAATTCGACATTTTCTATGTGCTACTTTTTCCTTCACAATGCTGAAAATATCCTCTTCAATGCTCGAAAATAACGCCACTATATGGAGAAGCTTAGATACATCCTACGATTACTTCAATAAAGCTACTATTTAAACACTTTACAAAGTTTTTAAAGACCTCGAACTAATTAAAATTAAAGTTCTCGTATTACTAAAATTTTCTTTTGCTGTGAAAACACGAAGATTTCGACAAGAATCTGAAAATACCGTAGTACAGAGAATTGGGTTGCAAAATACATTTAATCAAAAGACTATTCTGGATTTTTTCGTAATTTACCTAAATCGAGCATTCATTCTTAAACTTCCGCGCCATATTGAATTTTTTTTAGCTTATGCATACCACAGTATTTACTTGAAAAAAATCGCATAAAAACTGTATAATCGTTTTCAGGCACTGCCTAATCCAAAAATGATCTGTTTTTTTTTACGTGCGTCAATTTCCCTCGCAAATTTCCCCTCGAATATAAAATTTCCTTTTTCCTTTGAAATTTCAGATCGGACTTAAGTTATTTTTCCAATAATCTGGACTTCGAACAAAATTAATTATTCCCTGCCTCCTCAACTTTAAATTATAATTCATGATTTTTTGTGCCTCAGGTCAATTCCAAGCCTGAAATATCCCTGGATTATAAATCTTATAGTCCAATGGAGTGAGATTATTCGCATCCCTTCAGTCTTATTTTCGAGTGGGATCAACCGGTCTTTGTGAAAAGGGGATAAAAAATGTTCTGAATGTTCCCCACAGCAGTGACTTCCTGAAATCCCTGAATCCAAATACGCTTCAGAGCCTTCTGTTTGACATAGATTCCCTTCCGGATACTCGATGCTGTACATGTGTGTATTTATATAAGATTCACATGAACGAATCGCAATGTATAAGGCGTTCCTGATGATGGATCGCACAGCAAATTTTTTTTTTTGAGTTGGAGTCACTCTTTGAGACGAGCCATAGGAGCGTTATTAGCGCGGAGTCTGAGTCTGTTCTTTGTTTTTCGCCCATTCGTTTTTCAGTCCCTGACACCTTTATTATGCGAAACGTGGGAAACCGCGGAATGTGTAAAAAAAAAAATCGTAATAATAAATAAATAAATAAACTCTGAGGGAAAATTTTCCTCCGCGCCTCTCAGCATCGCATCACGTGCAAGCTTTGTGATGCTGTCGAAACGTTGTCATCAGGATCGTGTTTCGTGAATGTAACCAGTGGCGAGGTTGAAGGAAAGGAAAAACGTTCACTTCCGATGATTTCAAGGGGAACACGAAAAAAAGGCAACGAATTTCCTCAGGGGATGATCAACAGCACATTATAAAAAAAAAAAAAAAAAAACTTGGAAAATTAAACAGGAAAACCTGCTCGTTTTTCGCGGATATTTGGATAGGGAAGAGCGATTAGTTCAATGTATGCCAT